GAGCCCCGCGCCGCTCCCGACGCTTAGCAGCCCCAAAGAGACACCCCGCCCCCAGGCTAGGGGCCCTGCCGAGTTCCCCGCAGGAGTGCGAAGATGACCTCTCCGAACCTGGCCAGTGACGATCGGATCGTACGCCCTCTGTCGCCGCTGCCCGTCTCTAGCCAGCCTCGGTGTACTGAGTGAATGTGTTACGTTGTCTTGCGTCAAGTTAGGAAATAACAATGCTATTCTATGCACCTTCAGACATTTGAGAATATGTCTGCAGGGTACTGGGGCCAGACATTTCACGCCACGGAAGCTTTGAGCGTGGGAGCAACTAATGTTCATGGGAGAGGTTGCCTTATCTTGTCCTTGTGAACAATAGAAGGGAGTGGAGGTGTGTGTGTTTGAGAAGCTCTCCTTTAGGAAGGGGACAAGTGAACAGGTAATTGTACTTAATCCGTCCATCTGCCTGCAAAGCAACGTACCCAGATTCTGAGAAGGAAACTGAAGAACAGGGAGGTTAACACAACTGGCTGTTGTTAATATGGCTGTCTCCGAAAAAAAGCCAAAAATCTACAACAGAAAACACCTTGTTTAATAGTATCAATGTAGAATAGCATAAAGAAATCCAAAGGAGATTTGGCTGCAGAGATGGCTCAGCAGTTCAGAATGCTTCCAACTCTTCCAGAGGATCAGAATCCAATTCCCAGCATACTGTCAGGCCCTCACAGCAGCCTGTAACTCCAGCTACAAGGGCATCCAAAGCCTCTGGCCTCCTGAGGAAGCTGCACTTATGAGCACATACCCCACACAAAGACACAGGCACATATTTTAAAAAATAAATCTTTAAATGAAAAGAAAGAGAAGCTGGAGAAATGGCTCAGCAGTTAAGAGCACTGCCTGTTTGTTCTTCAAGAAACTCTGGTTCAATTCCCAGCACCCACAGGCTGGTTCACAACCACCTCTAACTCCAGTTCCAGGGGGCCCAAAGCCCTCTTCTGGCCTCTGATGGTACTGCATGCATAGTATGCAGACAGTCATGCAGGCAACATCGGTACCTATTAAATAAAATGAAAAACAAAAAAATAGAGACATAAATAAATGATAGTAGATAGATAGATAGATAGATAGATAGATAGATAGATAGATAGATAGATAGATAGATAGATAGATAGATAGATAGATGATGGATGGATGGATGCATGGATGGATGGATGGATGGATGGATGAAGGGAGGAGGGAAGGAAGGAAGGAAGGAAGGCAGGAAGGAAGGAAGGAAGGAAGGAAGGAAGGAAGGAAGGAAGGAGGGAGGGAGGGAGGGAGAGAGGGAAGGAAGGAAGGAAGGGAGGGAGGAAGGGAGGGAGGGATCCAAAAGTGTCTAGAGGGCTTGGAGATGTAGTAGAGTAGTACTAGGACTAGCATGTACAAGGACCTCTGTTTGATTTCCAGCCCAAAAAGAAAAAGAAAGAAAGGAACTTATATATGCAATTCTATCAAGAAGAGTCACCTGATGTTCAGCAAATTGGATTCTCCTCTCTGAATCTTGTGTTCTTCAACTGCAAAGCAGGATCCCTTGACTAAATGTCAGACCAGGTTGTAAATGGTTGGAATCTCCC